ATAAAAATCTAGAATAAATTTTTTTTTTTTCACTCAAAGGGAAGAAAAAAGAAGCAAGGACAACTTTGAGCCATCCCAAAAGCAGAAGGAGCCGTGCCTATTGGAACTCCAATGACTTGTGGATTCCTCGTCCCCTAGTTACTTGTGTTCCATTACAACAAGGGAAATACAATCCGATCCGATCCGATTCGATCCGATTCGATTACTTCACCTCTCAATCATTGTTTTTAGTTTAATGCTTCTTCTTTTCCTAATACAAGATTAATTAAACTTAATACATCTCCAACACAAACAAGGACTCTGCAATATACACAAACAAATCCCAATTAAATTATTGAACATCTTCTAACATGCTTTCTGATTTGATTTATTTGTCTATTCTTCTTGTCCACTAGCTAATAATTTCATTAATTGGTGGTGGGAATATTCAAGGGCTGAGCTGGGTTGGTGCTGTTGTGCTGTGTGCTGTGTGCTGTGTGCTGAGCTTGCAGGCCATTTGTTAAGAAATTCTTTTAATTTTTTACCAAATTCTTTTTTTTTAGCAAATTCTTTTAAGTTTTTTTCTTTTTATTTCTTTGGTTTGTTTAACCTATATACGGCCTTGGTTCGCTTGGCTAGTTCTCTCTCCTCCCAAAAACCCCATCAGTTCTCTCAGATACTCTTCTGCTTTATTGCTCAAAGAAAACAGATTGATAATCTGAACACTCGAGATAAAAGTTGGGTTCAGAGGATGATGGAGCATGTAACAGAAGGCTGAGCAGGAAGGGAAGTGACGTGGAGGGCCAGGAGAGCAGGAATGGGCCAGGTGTCCAACAGCCACCGCTCTGTTCCTAAAACTGCTTAACTCTGTTTTCTCCCTGTCTTCTTCGGACTTGGATTGTCTGCCCTCTTAGTTATGGTGCCCTTCCATGCCCTCTTATTTTGTACGGTCACGGTTAAGCCACGTCAATATTTTATATTAATTTTTTAATAAGATAATAAGACAAAAAATAATAAAAATATAAAATATTGACGTGGCTTAACCGTGACCGCACAAAATAGGAGGGCATGGAAGGGCACCACAACTAGGAGGGCAGACCATCCAAGTCCGTCTTCTTCTCCATTACCACCTTGGTTTCCGAAACTGCTTACGTCTGTTTTCTCCTTGTCGGCTTCTCCTTTAGCACCTCTTCTCTACACGAATAGGATTTTGTTTTATATATTTTTAAATAATCTGCGTTTCGTTTTCGTGGAAATTATAGAAAAAGAGTGACAATATCATCTACCAAGACTCAAAGTCTCGAACTTTTGACGGCGTCGTTGCATTCGGAGACAAACACAACAGAACAGACACACCATCAATCTGGTAAAAACCTCCTCCTTCTGATCTTGTCTTGTGGGTTTGCCCATGTTTTTCCTTTGTGTTTGATTTTTTGTGTTGTTTTATGCAATGGGATCACTTTGTTGCTAGGATTGCTGAACTGGGTGGTCGAGAACTGGTTCGATTCGTTGATATTTGATCTGGGTTTTTGTTTTTTTTTATTCAATTGGTTGGATTTTGGTGAGATTTTGTGGTGAGATTTTGTGAAGAGGGTTCCAATTGGTTTAGATTTTTGAGTGGAAAAATGAGTGGAGCTGTTCTTGTTGCTGTTGCTGCTGCAATTGGTAACTTGTTGCAAGGATGGGACAACGCGACTATCGCAGGTAAATCTCTAACTATTTAGTATCAATAGCTTTATGTCTGTCTTTTTTCAACATTCGAAAGTTCGATGCCTTTAAGATTGAGGAAAATTGTCTACTTAGATGCTTCAAAGATTGGTTCTTTAGCTTTGTCTTGGTTTATAATCAAGTTTAGTTGATCGGTCTGGCCTGAAGTTTACTTCATTTGCGGTCTATGATTCGATTTTTCTGTGAGGAGTTTTGATTATAAGTTAAGCTTATGCGATTTTGGTGCTTGATTTTGTTTATGAGTGAACTTTTCGGTTTTTCTTGCAGCTTCTGTTTTGTACATAAAAAGGGAATTCAACTTGGAAAGTGAACCTGCCGTGGAAGGGCTGATTGTGGCCATGTCGCTCATAGGCGCAACTGTGGTTACATTTTGTTCTGGAGCCGTAGCAGACTGGCTAGGCCGCCGCCCTATGCTTATAATCTCTTCTGTCTTTTACTTTCTTAGTGGTATTGTAATGCTGTGGTCTCCCAATGTTTATATCCTTCTCTTGGCGCGGCTTTTAGATGGTTTTGGGATTGGTTTGGCGGTTACCTTGGTACCACTTTATATATCTGAGACAGCCCCGCCTGAGATAAGGGGATCGTTGAATACCCTTCCGCAGTTTACTGGCTCCGGTGGGATGTTCTTGTCATATTGCATGGTTTTTGGGATGTCGTTGACTGAGTCACCAAGTTGGAGGTTGATGCTTGGTGTTCTCTCTATTCCTTCTCTTGTTTATTTTGTATTGACCGTGTTCTTCTTGCCAGAGTCTCCACGATGGCTTGTGAGTAAGGGACGGATGCTTGAGGCCAAACAAGTTCTACAGAGGCTGCGTGGAATAGAAGATGTCTCTGGTTAGTGACTTTATTCTGATATCTTTGAATATTTAGTCACTATTAGTAAAGTCATTTTTAGTTCAACCTAAATAGTAAAACTTTCAAAAATTAAATCAGAGAACCAGTGGTTTATTTCAAAGGTCAGTTTTAATTGGAGTCGTCATGTTTAAAAGACTGCATTTTCATTCTATGTCCTTCGAGTTAAAGTCCTTTGTGCATTCTTTTTAGCCGTAACATTACGAAACCTTTTTCGAGCAAGCATAAAGTTGCTTTGTTCTCCTGTTCTTATTTCACATTACATAATCTTTGTTAGTAGGAAAGTATGTGATATTTGCTTCCCTAAACTAACTATTTGATTTGCAATCCTGCATTGTTTGAGTGGTGTTTGATCCTTATTTGACCAACAGGTGAAATGGCTTTACTTGTTGAGGGTCTTGGAGTTGGGGGTGAAACATCTTTTGAGGAGTACATAATTGGCCCAGAGGATGACCTCACTGATGACCACGATTTATCCGCTGAAAAGGATAAAATCAGATTATATGGGCCTGAACAAGGACAATCCTGGGTTGCCAGACCTGTAACTGGGCAAAGCACTCTTGGACTTGTGTCTCGACATGCAAGCATGGTAAATCAAAGCGGTATTGTTGATCCTCTCGTCTCTCTCTTTGGCAGTGTACATGAGAAGCTCCCCGATACAGGAAGTAAGGGAAGTATGCTTTTTCCGCACTTTGGCAGCATGTTCAGTGTGGGAGGGAATCAGCCTAGACACGAAGAGTGGGACGAGGAAAGCCTTGCCAGAGAAGGAGAGGGTTATGCATCTGATGCAGCTGGTGGTGTTTCTGATGACAATTTGCAGAGTCCATTGATCTCGCGTCAGGCAACAAGCCTTGAAAAAGACATTGGCCCACCTCCACATGGAAGCCTTGCTAGCATAAGAAACAGCAGTCTCATTGGTGGAGAGGGAGCTAGTAGCACCGGGATTGGTGGCGGTTGGCAGCTGGCGTGGAAATGGTGTGAGAGAGAAGGCCAAGATGGACACAAGGAAGGAGGGTTTAAAAGAATTTATTTACACCAGGAGGGTGATGCTGCATCTCGTCGTGGATCTATTGTTTCGATTCCCGGTGGTGATGTACCGAACGATGGTCAGTTCTTCCAGGCTGCTGCTTTGGTGAGTGAACCGGCTCTTTATTCACGTGAGCTTATGAATCAGCATCCAGTTGGACCGGCAATGGTTAACCCAGCTGCAACTCCTGCAAAAGGACCAAGTTGGAGTGACCTTTTCGAACCCGGAGTCAAGCATGCTTTGGTTGTTGGGGTGGGAATTCAGATACTTCAGCAGGTAATGAAAATTCATTACTGAGAAACCTCCATTAATTTTTGTGTTATAATGATTCCAACTTTTTTTGTTTTTTCTTTTTCATGCAGTTTTCTGGCATAAACGGGGTTCTCTACTACACGCCTCAAATTCTTGAGCAGGCGGGCGTTGGGGTTCTTCTTTCGAATTTGGGCATTAGTTCAGCTTCTGCATCTCTGCTTATCAGTGCAGTAACAACCTTGCTGATGCTTCCTAGCATAGCCATTGCCATGAGGCTCATGGATTTAGCCGGCAGAAGGTAAATATATTCTTTTGGTTATATCTTGACATCTTGCTCAAATGGCCAGCTGAACACTTACTGCTTCGTAATTTTTCGTTTGCATTAGCATGCTCGATTTCGTGATCCTCAAAATAAGATGTTGAGCATCATTTATGTTTCGGTTAAGTTTTCAATGTTAAATTTGTGTATTGTCTAATTTAACAATTTGGAACCATTCTTAATTCAGGAGTTTGCTGCTCGGCACAATCCCTGTCCTGATAGTGTCTCTGGCCATCCTAGTCCTCGGAAGTCTTGTGAATATGGGAAGTGTTGTAAATGCATCAGTTTCGACTGTCAGTGTTGTGCTCTACTTCTGTTTCTTTGTTATGGGGTTTGGTCCAATCCCCAACATACTCTGTGCAGAAATCTTTCCCACCAGAGTTCGAGGCCTCTGCATTGCCATCTGCGCCCTCACATTCTGGATTGGTGATATCATTGTCACCTACTCACTTCCGGTGATGCTCAAATCTGTTGGCCTTGCTGGTGTTTTTGGCATGTATGCAGTTGTGTGCGTCATAGCGTTTATCTTTGTTTTCTTGAAAGTTCCCGAGACCAAAGGCATGCCCCTTGAAGTGATTACCGAGTTTTTCTCTGTTGGTGCAAAGCAGGCAGCAGCTGCCAAGAACAATTAACTTGATCCATAGTGGGTTAAAAATTTTGAAAGCTGTTTAATCTTCCTAGTTTTGCATCGAATCTACATTTTCTTTACTTGTTTTGGAATTGGTACGATTGATCCTTATGGAAAGGATTATTGTATAATTATCCCCCATTTGTTATACCTGATAAAAATGACTAGAGTTCAATGTACAATCTCGTCGGAACGAAAATTGTGGGATAACTTCATGGGAAAGGTGATTGCTTTACTAATTTACATGTCGAAATTTTACATTTGCTTCGAATTGAATGAAAATTGCAGCGGCTTGAATCAAACTGTTAATGATTCAGGCCAATTACATGATCTGTTTTTCTATATTTTCCTCTCCCTCTTATCAGAGCTCCAAACTCCGAATCCATGAGCTCGATACCAACTTCATTTGTAACACCCCTCTTCCGCAACCACACTGCCGCGACAAGACGGGCACGAAGAGTGGCACCTCAGCCACCTATCAACACAACTCACATGGAATCCGTGACCACAATGAGGCAACACCCTTGTGACATCTCCATCCACAAACTCCATCAAGCAGATTGCACATTCTGCTAGTCTTGCATCCGCTTCTGCATTGTACGAGACGCTAGGAAGCGAACAGATAATCATTTCATCGAGTCCTTGGTCAGGCAAAGGGTTGGGAGGCTGAGGCGTGGAAGCGCTAGATCTGGCCATGTGACGGTCGAACAATGCAGCAAGCCACAGCACCAGGCGGACGATCATGACAACAACAACGATTAAGATGCTCAAGAGTGGAGTGATCAGGACAATGATAAAGGTTAAGATGCAAAAGAACGGAGTAAGAAGGGGAATTTTTCCGGTGAAAAACATGCAATGGAGAGCCATGAGAGAATGATGAATAGCAAGTTCCCAAAAGAGAGGATTTAAAGGACCAATACAAGGTAGAAAATCATTGAGCATTTAAAGACCAGTTAGTACCTTTAACAACCGTTAGTTCAAACATCCAAATCCAACTCTAAAGTAGACTACTTTGGAGCATTTATCAAGAAAAATAATTTCCGCACTCTGTTTATTTTTGACGGAAATAAAAAGAACAACACAAAACCACCTAAAATCCTCACCCAACAAAACAAACTCTCCCTCCAATCATTTTAAAACCGACTAGCTCTTAGTTTAGTGATACTTCTATCTCGGAATGGTGCCGACAAGCCTGGCACCAACCCGGTCGAGTCTGCTCACACTCGCCGCCGCCTTCAATTTCCCTTCCTTTAGAAATGCCGCCACCATTCTTTCTCCGATCACCTTTCCTTTCTTGAGATCATCCGTGACCGCCACCGCAGTGGGCCCCGCCCCGCTTATTGTGCACCCGAATGCTCCAGCCTCGATTGCCGCCTTTTTAACCGCGTCCATGCCGGGGATCAGAGGGGCCCGCCGCGGCTCCACTATCTTATCGCTCGACAAGGCCCTGCCAAGCCCTGGCACGTCCCCCTGCAGCACCGCCGCCACCAGCGCCCCAGCCTGGCTCGAATTCCAGACGTGGTGGGCCATCCCGACCTCCGCCGGCAGCGCCGCCCTCATCTTCTTCGTCGGAGCTTCAAACTCCGGCGTTGCCAACACAAAAAATAATTCTTTACCATCCGGAAAGACTAACGGAATCAAATCCAACGGTTCGTAGCTCCGAATCAACACGAACCCTCCCATAATCGCCGGAGCTATGTTATCAGCGTGGTAGCCAGACACTTTCTCCTCCGATTTCAACCCCGCGATCACCAATTCCTCTATCCCCAATTTCCCGCCAAAAATCTCGTTGACCGCAACAGCACCCGCCGCCGCACTCGCCGCACTGGATCCGAGCCCGGAGCCCAAAGGCAACCCCTTTTCCAGAGTGAGAGAAAGGCCTACCGATCGGACTCCGAGCATCTTCATGACTTCGATGGCGGCGATTCCGGCGCAGTTCGAGAGAGGGTTTCTGCTGAGCTTTTTGGAGTTGTGGTCGCCGGAGATCTCGGAAATGGAGATCTCGCCCGGCGAGACCTGGGGGTCGATGGTGAGGGAGACGAAATCGCCGAGGCCATCGACGGCGCAGCCCAAGAAGTCGAATCCCGGGCCTAGATTGGCGACGGTGGCGGGGGCGAAGGCCTTGACGGAGGTGAAGACGGGTTTGGGCTCGGTAAAGGTGAGGGGGGCTCGGGAGGGGAGGGAGAAATTGCATCGGAGGTGGAGGGGTTTGGGCTTCGATGATTGTGATGGGATGGCGGTGAAGAGCTTGAACGGAGATTGGTGGCAGATCGCCATTGCTGGGCGGAGGGAGAAGCTGAGGGAGTGTAGGGGAAATTGTAGGGATTTGGGTTTTTGGAAGAAATGTTATATGGGCTGGGCCAGGGGTTAGGTAGTGACGTAACCACTGCAAAGAGAAATTGAAAAGACACTTTATTTTTTATTTCTAATTTTCCTCCAGTTTCTCAATTTTCAAATTTTCATACTTATCGGCTTCTGGCAAAATAAGAAGAAAAAAAAAAAAATGTTTGGGAGACACTCTAAAAAGTGATTCTCCAACTTTTGTATTGATACAATATTTTATTGTACTAGAATTTATTTTAAACTGTAAGATGATAAAAAGTTCATAAATAGTTCTACTTTGGTAGAGCCTCCTAAGCATTTTTCTAAGAAAAAAAGGTTTTTAATGCATTTCATCTTTATGTTCCCAAACATTAATTTTTTCTCTCACTTTTGTTAGCTTGACCATTAACTTTTATGTTAATTAATGATTTGGTATGGTGTCGGCATCTCATATTTTTTTTATAATGTTTTATAATGTTAACACAAAAATTAACTTAACATTGTGAGTTGACAAAGAGTTTATAGAGAGTTTCATTTATGAGAGACTTTTCACGGTTTAATGTCAATTTCCATGCTAAAATCATATTAAAAACATGAGATGACAAAGAGTTTATAAAGAGTCTCACTTTCGAAAGAACCCTTTAGTATTTCTCTTGTAATAAATGTATTGATATCATGTATGTATAATTTGTTGGTAATAATCTAATATAATATCAATACATTAACAATAACATATCAACGTTCCATTTCATGACCAAATTAATCAGATAAAGTGTATATAAATGGAATAGCAATGTATTATTGAAAAATGAAATATGACAATACATTACCAAGTTTGATGATCGATTTTTCTTAAAATTAGTACGAGGGAGTAAAAGACAAAATATGATATGATTATTTCTTGGTCAGAAAAACACGATATGATTAACTACTTAATCATGTTTAATTAACGAGTTAGCCAAATGTCATTGTCAGCATTACGCATCTCTTGAGGGTTGTCGATTTGTATTCTCTTGGAAGCATTCCTTACTGATTGATCATCTTCATTTTCAATCACATTTGGACCATTTGGTACTACGCTTTCCTTGCGCTTTCTTTTCAGCTTATTTTTCTTCGATTCATCTACCTTTTTGTCGACGAAGGACAAGAACGTGAGGAGGCGTGTTAAGATAGAGTGAGAGTTGATGTTTTCTTGGCTCGAAGGCTCGGCTTGATCTTCAGCTTCGGGGGTATGGCGTTTGTACTGGTGTAGCGTGGTAAACAGGTAAATGAGTAGAGCAATAAAAGATACAATGCCGGCGATAAGGAATAGCCCCCAGAAGCTTTGTAGTTGAAGCTGGTCGGATACGATGCTGGAGCTCTCTGAAGCACAAATCTTTCTGGAGAGCCATTTGTTATAAATTTTCTGGAGATCACCATTTTCAGATAGAGTGAGGATGGCAGTTGACATGTCAATTGCGAAAGGAGAGTCTCTTGGAAATGCCTACAAAAAAAACATGTAAGATTCGAAACAGTTAAATGATCGTTCTTAGATATCTGACATGTTATGTTGTCAATATGAAAATATAAGCTAAACATCCAAACAAGATTTCACTTGATTTAGTGGTCTAGATTGAAGTATGATAACGTATAACATGTTGGACTGTTCGGCAAGAGAAAAATTCAAAACAAAAGGTACTAGTTTTCGGGCGGATTGAGCAATTTAAGACCAAAAGTAGTTATGTTGAGGTACTTACAAATCCCCACCCACTTTTGGTGAATTCTGCCCCCCTAATTGAGAACTTGCAGTTTTCTGAGAGGAAGAGTTCCATATATGCTCTTTCGTCAACCACAGCAGCAACAGTTTTATCCTTAAGGGCGGTTGCATAAGCTTCTGGCGAGCCAAGAGGAACTAGTCTGGACTTTGGGATGTCGAGCTGCTCAACCAAATAGTTCTGAGCAAAAGATCCGATTTGGAATCCTATAGATTCTGTGCTAGTTATCAAGGTATCGATGCCGGTGATGGGGGATGATAGTTGTTTTACTGTGAGCATTGATGTCAGGCTAGCTGTGTAGCTTGAGTTGATCACTAGAACTACAAAAAGCCATATGATCAGCACCATGCGGCCTAGCGTGGTTAAGGTGTTCTCTCCTGAAAGTTCAAAGATTGATCTTTTAAACTCGCTATCAAGTTCTTGGTAAAAACACATTATAATGTGCCAAAATTGGACTTACTGTGAGCAAAAAACATGGTAGAGAAGCTAAACCTGAAAAACAAGAGAATGAAGGCAGATGAGTCCAATTTTTTGTGTCACCACGAATCACAGTCTCTATAAATCAGTATCTTTATGCAAAATCTGTCGGAATCTTAAAGGTACAAAGTATTTACCATAAAATTGTGACAATCTGTTTCCTAGGAGGGCCTCGGAACTCATCGTTTTTTCTATGTTCAAGAATCCATATCACTAATCCAATGATTATGAAGAAGGATGCTGTTACACCCCACATTGATGAAGAAAATGGCCTTAAGAATGCCCAAGCTGAATTCGAATCCCTAACTGGAGCCACCACAACTAGCCCCGACTCTATATATGGCTGAGTGAAATCCACAATCTTTGTCCGGTTTGTGACGATTGCAATGTCACCTACCGCAGCATCAAACTTCTGCAGAACAAAGGTTTAAATCAGATGCAAATTTGGAAACTTTGTGCTTACCATTATTTTCTGTGCCAAAATAAGTCAAGGGAAAATGATTTCCGCACGCCCCTCTTTATTTATGTCCCTTATAATCTATAGATTTATTCAATCCAAAGGTCGGGAATAAACAAGGGGCGTGCAAACAGAGAAAATTAGTGTGAAGAAATAATTGAAGGTTACTTACACCTGAAGCAACCATGTTTACGAGCTCGTTGTAGCTAGGGTTCTTGAGGCCATCACCAAACAGAACAAACTTATATGGAACTGCATAAGGAAGCAAATTTATGGCTGCAATGAATATATCGATGCAGTATCCTTCAACTACATCAGTATTACTTGTTCGTGACACAAAGCCTTGAAAGCTGACTCGATTTGGCACTCCAATTCTCAATTTCTTTCCATTGTTTGGAAAAACCCACCCCCGAGGCTTAACTGTTGTCCCTCCGGGCCATACAACAGTGTCCAAACGTTGGTTCGCATTAGACCGGTTGGATAATTTCTCAGGGGCCACAAGAGATATACCAGAGTAGTTGGACCAGTATCCAATTCTTTGATATCCATTTGCGATTGTGTTAATGATTTCATATGAAGGATTCAATGGCGATCTATCTGGATGAAATGCTACCCGACCAGTCAGACCGGTTGTATTTGTCCGCAAAATATTGTCCAGCAACTGCTTCCCACCCTGAAAAATGCTCAATGCACCCAGGTTCAAAGTCCCTCCTTTAAGACCGCCAAGAGGTCCTATACTAGTAATGTTGGAAAAGGCAATGCTGCTTCCTTGTTCCAAAAGCAAATCTATAGCACGGGCAAGCATCCAAACTGTATCATAGGCATACAGACCGTAAGGGTTCAACCCAATAGAGCCATTACTCAACTCGTTCCACCTTGATATGAAATCCTTTTTTCGCTTAGAATCCGGCGTGTGTGGACGAAGAGTCAGAGCACCTTGGATGGAGCTGGCGGTTT